CAGTCTTTCCCAATTCATCAGTCAAAGTGTTATGCAAGTGGCCCCCTAAATTGATAAATTCCCACAGTGCCTGTTGACCCAGCTGCCAAGTGCTCATGCAGCAGGTGTTGTTTTCATGACCACCCTGACAGTAATACAAACTGTTTAGCAGTTGCATTGACCTCTTAGCTATTAACATTGATACAGGCTTCACTAGGGACTAGTTTTCAAACATGACAGAATTTCTTAAGACTAGAGGTCATGAACAAGTATACCATATAAGAATAAATTTGATATGCTGCTGAGTTTAAATCTTAAAAGCCGTGAGTTTTTTCCACATTATTCCCATGTAGTAAATCTGGAGACAAGTAACAAGCTTTTGGCATCTCTCCCAGGACTAAAGGTATACTTTTTCATTTTAGAAGCTGTACCTGAAGAGATGCTATATTTATTCTACGACAAGGAGCAAATTTAGTCTGTGACAAGTAATGAAACAAAATTATTTTTTCGTGACATTTTCCCTTATAAAGGAAAAAACCCAAACAACTAATGCACAAATATTGGTGATATACTTAAGCATCATTCTAATACCTAATATCTTGTGTGCAGTTAATTGAAGCATAACATTCTTTCCATATATTTTGTACTGCAATCAGGATTTCTACAGCCGTGTCTCTTGTTGAATTTGAACATCCAGGAATTTTGTCTGGGTTTTTACTCCCGTTAGTGGGAAAGTAGAGATTTTTGATATTGAGTCAAAGGCACGATGGCAGAATTGTTTTCTGTTCAGTACCATTGTATTACTGCTGAATTTGACCCTCCATTTGCATTGATTTATGTATGTCTGAGTTACAGGCTAACGCACTCTGTGCGTTTAGTGGAACTGTGAAGAGACGCACTGAAGAAAGCATGAAATCCTAAGCAGTTCCAGGATGAGTTTTAATCTGTTAAAGCATATTAGACTTTTATATGCCTCTAAACTAACCGTAGAGGCTACTTTCTTATACTAGCTACAGTAATGCAGCAAAAATTATTTTACACATCGTACAGTCAAGAATTTCCAGCTCACTGCACACGTCAGCAAAGGGACCCGGCGAGGGCCCCAGCCCCCAGTACAACTTTTCCTCCATGTTCCATACATTTAGAGTTGTTACACAGTTTCATGAAAGCATGTTTTAACAAGCGAGATATAGTGTACTGTACTGTATATATGAACAGCTCTTTAAGATAACTAGAATTGTACAGACCATATAAATAGTCATTATCAGCTACATTTTTGGCTGACTTTCTGCGGACCAAATAGTGCTTACTGTAAGAGTAATCAAGCTCTACCCTTTAGAGTTTTATAGATTGAGGGAGACAAGGAAAAAAATTCTCTCCAGCCCACAGTGTGGCTCCATCTATTCCCCTCCATTTTCCACGTCAAGAGACACAGCGAAGCACTAGTTACATAAACAAAATCACAGGCTTGTCTAAGTGCTGGAAAGATCAAGTCCCAACAGCCAGTTTCAAGACTTATGTTATCTTTGTGAGATTCGGTTCAACTTACGCTGAGCCTGAAAATCTCCACCCCTTTAAAGCCTTAAGAATGCAAAGTGTAAGTGTTGTGGGGCAGAGACTTTCTCTTGATATGTGTTGGTACAAGAATGGCATTCAAATCCTGAGAAAGAAGTGTGGCTTTTCCCATAGTACAGCGAAGGAAAACCAGTAATTCTTCTCACACAAGAAGGATTCTGCTGCAGCTGCATTTGTATTCCTGTTCTCCTAAGGCACTCTGCCAACCAGAATTTTTTCCATCTTTGTTTCTACTCCACCCCACCATTAATAAATATTATCCGAGGCTGATGAGTGCGAGTTATTGATTGATGGTAGAATAAAAGGCAAGGTTATATTCACAAGTACCAAGAGCACCAGAAAACTTTAAATCATAAAAGTGACCAGCCATGCTTTGCTGGATACAAAAAAGTATGATTTCTGCCTCCCAAATTAAATAAAAATAAAAAAAAGAATCATGTATTCCAGGACTATCATATCTAAATACTTTACATCTATTAATAAAATAAATCATTATCTTCACAAATAAAATATCTCTGTGACTTATGAGGTCATTCTTTGCTAAAGATATGCCACTGGAGCTCTTTTCCAAGAGATGCTCCAGGAGCCTGAGGTTATGCTTCCTGCTAAAGACAGCGCTGTACTTGTGTTTGAGCAAGAAAAAGAGAAGACTCCCGTTTAAAGTAACTTGAAAGAAATGGGCTTTAACAGATGAAGAAAGAATGTTGTCTCCTATGCAGTTGGCTATAAAGAAATCAACTCAAAATTAGATTTTTTTTTTTTCCCCAAAGGTAGGAATTAGAACACAGATCTTTTTACTTTAAATCTGAACGAACAAGTCTCCACTGAAAATCACATCATTTTGTAGAACTGTTTCCAAAACAGCATTACTTCTAAATCTCGCATATATTTTTTAAGTGCAGGAACTTTCTTAACCAGATCATATGTAATGCACTCATTACTACAGAACAGGAATTCCTTACAGGTCAAAAAAATAATGCATTATATTTAAAAGACAGCTGTGGAAATATGTAAACACAAAACCTGAAAGCGTTTCAAATACGCTGCATGAAAGGTGTCAAAACATGTTTCAAAGCCCTTCAATAATACAGGACCTTAAGTCTGATTCTCAGAAGCGCTTCTAAAATCAGAAGTTGGTGCTACACTAAAGATGCATCCACACATTCTTTCTGTCCTTAACATCTTTGGGGAACCAGTTCTTCTGTACGGATGTTTAAATAATCATGGTAGCAATTAAGACTGAGCAGAGAAAGTGCTACAGTGAAACAAACCAGTGAGCCTGTACTCTATTACTCCGTTTCAAAGAAAAATGCGAGGAACCCTGTAATGTACCATTAACAAGCTGCATGCCAAAATGGGGGGGCAGGGGGAAACGTAAGCCCAGTCAGCTAGTGAGGGACTTCTATGACATTAGGTATGAGTGCTTATTTTTCTTAAAAATTATTTTTACCCTATCTAATATTACTTTGAATGGCCCCATTGTGCATAGAAATATCTTTTAAAAATCCTACTAGAACATGGGCTTCATTGATATCTTAGAAGCCATGAGTTCAACTAGTTAATTTTATTTTCTTTAGCTTAATTTTCTCCCTCGATATTTCTTCTGATGTTGAAATGGGAGATAAAACAAGAACGCTCAGTTTTCCTCCTCTTTTTTTCTGCCACTGTTTTCCACATCTCCATCATACCCTTTCTTTCTCAGACTCCAAAGACTATCCTTTTCTCCACACAGGAGTATCAATCTAGGATTTTAATATTTGACAGTGCACAAGTTGCTATTCCAGCTATTTGCATATAATTGGCGTTTTAATACTGATGTCAGTATAATGATCAAAGTTATTTTCTACTCTATTCGATCTCATACAATTTTGGTTCGGTTTGTTCGGATTCTAGCTGGACACTTCGCCAAGGTTTCTCTGAGCTCTCCACAAAACTATTAGAATCTTTGTCCTGCAAGTTTCAAGCTTAGGAATGTATGGCAGTAGTTCAAATTATTTCCTTGAGAATGAATAATTTTGTATTTGTCACTAATTAACTTAATTTGCCATTATGCTCCCATTCAATTACTTGTTTATATCTCTTGGGAGATCCTGGCATTCTTTTCTCAACTTACTCCTGTACAATCAAACCCACAGCAGAGACAAAACACGGTACCTCTACTGGGAACCTGTAGCCTTGTGATGATCCTCTCAGTCTCTAGCTGCTGAACTCAGACAGCAAATAAAATAAGTGGTCAGCATGATGACATACAGCTAAATTAAAAAAACCAACCAAACAAGCAACAAACATGTAAAAAAGCGTTGGAAGTCGTATCAACAGTTAGGGCACACTTAAGTTAAAACATTTAAGTGTTTTACACATTTAACACTACAGAAGGAACACTACAGTTCCTTCTTTGTTAAGGAAGCTAATGCTGTGCTTTTGTAAATAAAAAAGGCTACTGGACATCCAAAATATCTTGTAGAGACTGACAGAAAAAATTGCATTACGTACGACTTGACACCAAGAAGCCCAACAAAAAACCAGTATCAGAAATGCTTTTAGTCAGCTGAACTAGAATTTCCTTCACGCATACATGTCAGAGAATCACCCACAGAATGGCTGAGGCTGGAAGGGACCTCTGGAGGGCGTCTGGTCCAACCCCCGGCTCAAGCAGGGCCACCTACAGCCAGTTGCCCAGGACCGTGTCCAGCCGGCTGTTGAATATCTCCAAGGATGGAGACTCCACGGCCTCTCTGGGCAACCTGTGCCAGGGCTTGGTCACCCTCGTAGTGAAAAAGTCTCTCCTGATGTTCAGATGCTTAAAATAAGCATCTGGAATGCATAATCCAAATACAATTTCATGAAAATATGGAAATAAAAACTCTGCAATGTCAAGCCGAATTCATAGACAGAGGTAATACTTTCACAAAATCATTACGCATGTCATAATGTGTGACATAAAACTTGCTGTTCAGATTACTCTTCCCAGCATACAATCGGAAATATAAGTCAGCCAGAAAAGCAAAAAGACACCATCAGATTCTGGACTGAATTATATGACTATTTGCACTCTCTGCAGAAAAGCCACACAATCAATACAATTTAGCACATCTAATAATGATATTATCTAGAGATATATGCTGCCTGCGATAAGCTCTTCAGCAAGCTGGTTTTGCCCGGTTCAAGCTTCAAGAATTCTCAAGGACTATTATTTAATCCTGTAGATGATCTCTGCAGGCAGTTATATGAAAGAATAGCAAATCACACTGTATTTTTCTGTAATGTAACATATCACCTCTATGTTTACTCGTGTTTTTGAGAAAAAAACCAATCCCCTTAGAACACAGATTTCTCCCACTGATAATACCATAGAAGAGAATCAGGCCTTTAATAAAAAAAAACGAAAGTTTTTCTCCTTGACCCCAACTTTTAACTATCTGCTTGGTTCGTATATTTTCGTTCAGGCCTTTAGTCCCCGAAGAATGCAAAAGAACAGCTCAGTCTGCACAGATACTGACATCTGAATGCTCAAGGCATTGTCGGAACGGGCACTGCACTCCCACAGGAAAATGCTGCTGTAATCAAGGCTGGGAAGGAGAGTTCTGCAGAACGGGTTTGTATATAGATTCATAGCAACAAGTGAAAAAAGCAGTGAGATGTCATAATTTGCTTTTAATTATTTGCTGAGAGAAATTTTCAATATATTTCATTGACCATCAGTTCTAAGACAACGTTAAAGAAATACTGATCTCATGAATTGTAGAGGAACAAGAAGTCTTTTAGATGAGTATAACAGTTGAAACATCTAATGCAATGTGAACCATTACAGAATGCAATTAATAACATAATACAGACAACAGTATTCTTATATTTGCACCAAGAGTGTAAAATGAAAGGAAATGCAATCAATACATGTTCCATGTTGGGACATTTGGCTTCCACCTGCAGTATTATCATTGTTAGTGTCAAATAGGAGTACCTGGTCAGGAAAGATGATAAATCAGCCCTGCAGGTCGCTATTGCGTATTTTGCATTTCGCTAATTTAATGCAAATACTTTAGTTTAGTACTTTTGATCCTACAAAATAAAATAGCTCCAGTTTGTTAAAGAGAATTCTATGTACAACTTGTCACAAAGCAGCTAATAATCAGAACGTTATTGTAATCCATTATTAATCACAGTGCTTTTACTAAGTCCTGTCTTGTTGCCGTAGCGTATCGTTTAAAAGTCCCGTGAAAAAGTGACTGTGATCAAACTAGATGTTGGGTATGCCACCAAAGGGGTGAGATGAATGAACCTGGAGTGCCACAGCTGTGCTATCCCTGTCTCACAGAGGCTGTGGTTATGTCTGAGCTGTGTAACTCTGGCCTGTGCAGATCTTCCAGAGCAAGCCTGGGTACCAGGAGGTGTTATTAGTGCATCAGCACAGTCTTCTGACTGAGCATATTTGCTCAGTGAGTTTGACCAGATGCCTGTACAAAGAGATAAGGTTAACGTAATGGCAGTAGAACTCAAAAGAGGAAAGGAATCGCAGAGTAAGACAAAGCAAGGGTCACACGATGGACCAGGGATAATTCAGGTTGGAAGGGCACCCAGGAGGGCCCTGCTGAAGCAGGGTCAGCTATGAGGTCCTTATAGCCTAGAGTGTGAATTTCAGCAGCTTCTGGGTTTTTAGTGACTTCGTTTGGAATGAAGTGAAATGAAATGAATGAAATATCTTACTGGCAAGATTCATGAGCTGGCCATCATACAGCCGTGCAACAAAAGCAGGTTGGAGAAACGGGTGAGGTAATCTGGCCAAAAAGCCCAATTTCAGTTGTCCTCACTTGTCAGTCAGAGATTTCCTACATTTAGAGAATGAGGCCCATTCTACAGCCCTTGCCCAAGTGGAACTTAAAGTAAAAAACGTCTCCAGTGTGAACATTAATGAATAATCAGTTTTGTCTAAAAAATTACAGCTCCATGACAGATAATTTGATAGATGCAATGTACAAGAAAGCTACAGAAAATACGTAGACTAAGGATGTTTCTTCCCTGTATCCCACACGGCAGTTGACAGAGATGTTCTAGGTTGGACTATTATAATTTAAATAAGAAAAATTACCTTATGAGGCATCAGTTTCCTCCTAGGGTAATTAAGAAACTCATGAATAAAATCAAGAAACCTATTTTTATATAGTGTATTATAAATCTCTGTAAATCAATATTATACCTTTATTGTAACAGAGAACTTTAAACAGCAAAATGTCTGCAAAAAGAAAGATATATTTATCACAATGCTGTGACTCTACCCCAGAAGAAAATACTTCCACAACTAAAGTTATTGATTGTTAGTTTTGCTAACACTGGCTACAATTTAAAAGAGCATTTATATTTGAAAAAGTTAAGCAAGCTGATTAACCTGGAACTGTATAGGTAAATTGTCAGGCATCTGCTAAAGAGAGAGGGAAAAAACTCTGAAACTTAACTAACTGATAAAAGCTGTCAAAAAAATACTCTGATTCTGTTTTTTCTGAAGGGAATTCAATTTTGTTCCAAGCATAAGTGATTCAAGAGCCAAAGGACTACATCTCTGTGGTCAACTGTAGTCTGCTCTGCTAAGGAAAGTGTGTACGTACGTACGTGCTCTGCACGTACAAAGGAGTTTACCTGAGATTCAGTACTTGTTACCTTGGAGATGGCCAGGTGCTAAAATGTCTCACCAACTTCAGGACTTTTTTGGGTTGCCAGCATAAGAAATGGGATGAGGTGGACCACCACTGTTTAAAGATCTGGATGTGCTGTATGTCTTGTTTTCAAATAAGATATTTGGAGCCAGAGGTCTTTTGAGATGGGTCTTCTATGCGCTCCAAAATCAAGCATGAATACAGGAATTGGACAGTTTCAAAAATCTGCTATTTGAGTTTCCCAGTCTGTCCTGGGCGACGGCCTCTCAGACATACAAAATTACTTCCTCCCTCTAATATTCTGAAACTTTAAAAAATGTGGTTTCAAAACTTCTAATATTTCATCCTTTCTATTTTGTTTTTAATTTATGTGCTTTATCATTATAGTTTAGAAAAGCTCTTAATGAACGCGTACTGTATCTTTTCGGTTTGTGATGTTCTAACCAAATTAGAAAATCGCTCTTTTTCTCCCCACAGCAAAATGTGACCCAGCCTGTCGACATGGAGGTGTCTGTGTAAGGCCTAATAAATGCTTATGTAAAAAAGGCTATCTCGGCTCCCAGTGTGAACAAGTGGATAGAAACATCCGAAGAGTGACAAGGGCAGGTATTCTTGATCAGATCCTAGACATGACATCCTATTTGCTGGATCTAACCAGCTATATTGTATAGTTTCTGGGACTATTTGGAAACTACACTTTCAACGGGCATTTGTTTTGAATCCTGTCATTTTTAAAAGACTGTTATCCTGCAACAAATACCGGTGATTTGATTTACTTTATTAATTTAAGTACAATATCCACAAATGTGCAGATAAATTCTTTGTATGTGTGTAAATATTTCTGTACGTCTCCACAGACGTACCAATATCCAATACGTGCACACATACACATGCACGCGCTATCACAAATACGGTTTTACAGTTAGTGGAATTTTTTTTTTATATTTATTTCTTCATGAGAAATAGTTTACAAAGTAATTCCACTGTAAACCACATTTTCGTCAAAGGACTTTTGTGATGTCTTAATGGATTCTTTGACATCCCAGAAACCTCGTGTCTGTACCTATCTGATTATAGCAATAAGAGAGCAGTTTTCAAACACCGCTGTATAAACTGCTGGACTTAATAAAATCCAGTTGTAACAGTTACTAAGGCGAACTGAACTACATCATGAGACAATATTTCAGAACTCCTAAATGCATTCCTATCTAGGCAATTCATTGTAAGACTGTAACCTTCACCTTCATCAATGTAACTCTATTACAGAATGTTACGCATTTCTTTATCTAGCATAGATGCAAAAATCTGGTTATCGCAGCTTAATATCAAGATTGTTTCAAGTGTTTAATAATTAAATTATATTCGCATATTTCAAAACCAGTCATCCTAGAAGGTCTGCTTTTTATCATATATTTTATTTAACGATGGGCACTGGGTTCATGTTACATATTTATATTATTTTATTTTATTTTTATAATATAGACATCACCTAGATGAGACAGCTTTACCATGTCCTGTAAAATACTAAAGTTACATTTTTCACCAACTTAATTGGAAAGACGGGGAAAGAGAGAGCAAACACACTCTTTAATGTGTTGTGGATCTAATCTAGAAATGTATCCTTGTGTCAACTTGTATTCGTTTACGACGGATGAAAAAAACAACCACCAACCAATCACAATAAAATTCCAGCATATGTTAAAAGTGTTCATAAAGTGATTTTCACTGTAACAGGACGGGCCAGATTATACACGAGTAGACTGCGGCCAGTTTCACACTGAACTGAACGTCCCTGGACAAGAGCTCACACGGGCACGTGTTGGCTGTGTAAGATGTCACTTGTACAAAACGTATAACGATACTCGCCAAATGCGGTTCTAAATGTAAATGTTCCTTGAAGAGCTAACATAAAATGGAGTCTTTGTAAATGTATCAATAAATATGGTGTACATGCTATAGTCAGGTTTTCTAAAGTATTAATAGTCTAATTAGATGTATCTTCAGATATGTGATCTCCAGCTCTAGGGCATTATTGGCAGTTTCTTTGCGCACTACTTACCAACTATCAGATTTCCTTTGCACTACCTGGCTTTTATGAAATCTTGCCTATGAAAAGAAAGCAGAGTAGTCACAGTATGCACATCCTATGGTTCTTATAAGCAGCTGCTCACGCGTCAACAATTTACAACACTTCAGGCAATAAAGATCTAAAAGACTTTACCCATATTACTCTCCAGTAGCAAAATTACCTCTCCATGGCAGTGACATGCAACGAATTTTCCTTTATAGGAAGTTGTCAGCCTTCATTTAGCAGGTATTAAATCTGAAAGTACAGTATGACTGATACTTGTATTTCTCTGTCTTGTGCGTTCCAGCTCAGAGGAACAGAAAATTACATTTGCCTTCCATATATGTTTGCCTGGGTTTCGAGTGACCTCATGCCAAATGGAAATTGGTTGAGAAATCTTGGTTAAGTGCTCAGCGAACAATGGTCTGCATTAAAAAGTGCATGCATAATTTTGCACAATGTAGATTCAACTGACAGTCCATTGAAAGACGTCTCGGGATTAAATGAGCATGAAGACCAAATTGCCCTCTCACCCCAGAAAAGGGTGGTCCCTTATAGTCACACGAACACTTCATTGGCTAAGCAGTGTGACCAATCTTAAAATGAACCCTGCGGTAGCATCTGTAGGTTAATAGCAGCTCTTTGTCTCCGCTGCTTTCTGCCTTTAGTCTTTTCCCTGAATTCCATCACAAAAAGTTTTACAATTAAAAAATGTCCTGACAACCATTTTTGTAAATTGACCTTAGCATCTAATCTTTCCTTATTCAACGTGGGTGACAAAAATGTGAACTTCTCATGAATGAGCCAGCTGTCTAAAGCTGTCAAATAGCGCAGTTTTATTACACTCTTCATAATCGGCAAAGCAAGAAAGTCGCTGAAGTATTTTAGCAACATTTAAATATCTGACAGAGATAACATCTTTAACACTTTCTTTAATGAAATAGATTTAAAAATAAACCCAACTTTAACTCCACTGTGACGCATTATTTTTAACAACCAGCTGGGGAGATGTGATAGTTCTTTTCGTGCTGCTTAGTTCCTGGAGACAAAAAATACCCTGGACGGTACCTAAATTGAAGTTCCCCAGTAATATATATGCCATAGTCATGTAGAGAAGGGATAACAACGATCTTAGAGTTTTGATCTTAATAATAAAGACAACTTAGTTTACTAGTGAAATCAGAAAATAAAACTCCAGTAAAAGCTAAGAATTAAACCCAGGCCTCATTCAAATCAATGGCAAAAACTCACATTGGCTGTGCTGCACCCAGAACATTGCTTTCAAAATTTAAGCAAAATATTTCAGTTTATTTTATTTAAAAAAATTTCTGTTTGAGTCATTCCATCAAAGCTTCACAACTAAGAAGTAATCTAAGTGAAGATTAGAGGGAGAGGGTAGATAGTTTGTGGAAAGTGTTTTGCTTCATTTTTACGTCATCTTTTATATCATGTGAAAGCAAGCATCTGCATTAAGCCCGCACGGGTACATAGGAAGTCCCAGTGGAAAAGAAGTATTCTAAAAAAAAAAAAAAAAAAAAAAAAAAAAAAAAACAAAAAAAACCTAGCGTCTTTTTTAAAAAAAAAAAAAAAAAAAAAAAAAAAAGAGACACAAAAAATCCTAGCTGCTTATTTATCAAAAGAAATTATACTATTAAAAAGAGTGAGTAAACCACAGGCCTAGCCACCCAAGATGCTAATATAAAAAGGGCAACTGCAGTAATTGCCCTGAGAATTGGCATACAAAAAAAAAAAAAGGGTCTGTAGAAAGCCCGTTGCCAGTTAGGTCATTCTGCAGCCATTCTCACACAACCTCCGAGAGCGTCCCAGAATAAAACTGAGCTTATAAATGAAACTAGATAAATGAGGCAATTAGATAAGGGCCTCCAGAAGGGATTTTATGTATGTGTTCAAGTTGTCTCTGTCTCTCTCTCCCCTAATCTTTTATTCCATTCATTTCTTCCTTTATCCGGAGATACTGCCTCTCTGTTCCCAACACATTGTACATTTCAAGCATTCTTTGAGGCTTTCTACTGTTAAAAGAGAACAAACATACCTGTTGCAAGTAACATCACTCTATTCCCGATGTCTGCTAATTTTCAACCCTCGTTTTATTATTTTGGGACAGAAAACCTTCATCTTTCTCTTTTTAAATGCCACTGATCAGAAAGAAGGCATATTATTGGAAGATAAGGAGAGTCTTTAGTCCATAGATAAGTAGGGAGACAAAAAGATGTTATGTAAAATCATCTCCAAATTGTTTCACTCCATTTCAGAGAAACAGTAAACTCATTTTTCTAATGCATCCAATAAGAAATATTAACTCAAACCCTCCCCCTTAAGGAAATATCTTCCATTACCAGTCAGGGACACGGATGCAAACCCTTTGTACCTTTAAATCTTCACAGGTTATTCTATTTCAGGCAAACAAAGTGTAAGTTAGGTATAAGTAAGAGTATAAATTCTATATTGCCAACATGACACCTCTGTTTATCTCCTCCTTTCATTCACTTCTCCACATTTTGGCTTTGCAGCTCCTCCCTTTCTAGAACCACAGCATATGTCAATAGTCCCTGGTTGCTGCAGGTGATGCTTATTATTTTTGAAACTGCCTACTAGACACGTGCATCCAAGAGGCTTCCCAGCAGGCTGAGGTTTTAATCTTCTGATCATTCCACAGACCTTTGTTATTCTATAGTGATTTCTAATACTGTATCTTAGCTGGACATTTACAGTTCAGGAGTAGCAGCTTCAAGCAGCTCAGCCTCAGGCTGTGAAGCTCAGCCACAGATAGACTGAAGCTGGAGGAAGGGAGAAAGCACTTGGTCACTATACAGTCACTATGCTTATCAGAAAGTTACCAGTTTCAAGGCAATAATCAGATTCCTCAAGTAAAAAGCAGAACAATATTCCTGGGCTGATGAAACGTAGCTTTTCAGTATACGCTTTCACTAATCTGCGGTTAGAAACGAGAACCTTTTCATGCACAAATATGCAAAATGGAGATTCTGAAAACACTTACGAACAAGTAATTTTTCACGGGTGTGAAGTCCCATTAAGGTGAAAATAAATATTCGTACGTGTAACTCTACTTGCATCCATGAAATAGGCATTTACAAGATTGGTTCTACATGGAAAAAACAACTTTGAGGACATCTTGCTCTGCTTATGTTTCCTTAATTATGAAAATCCTTTAAAAGACAAGAATGCATGTTAATTTACTATCCTTTAGCTTAACCATGTATCGGTTTAATTAGGAATGATAACATTTTGATCTTCTGTCCAACTTAAAAGGTGATCTTTGTCTCAAAACAAACAGAAGGGAGTCATAAGTAAATAAAAAATAATTTTTCCCATTTTGCAATATTAAAAATTAACTAATAGTTTATTTTTATCATTTAAAAAAAAAAAAAAACCTAAGAATCTCCCCCAAAAGGCAACCAACCCTTTAAATTTATTCTAATCCAAATTTGCAGAAAATATGTACCAAATAATCTGGGTTCTGGCTACAAAAAAACTGATAAATATTTCCAGAAGGAGTTTCAGGGCAAACTTTTATAGAAACATTGAAAAAAGTTAATACCGTTTTGCTAAAATGTTCGTTGTTTTCAACAGCATGTGTAATTGAGTGAAATAAGACACATGTACTTTTTAGGATATAGGTGTGAAACAGCAGAAGCCACCTGAAAGCTTAGTACAGGATTACTTTAATCTTTGAGGGCCTGACTCAAAGTCCATTGATGTCAACTGAAAATCTCCTATTGACTTCATTAGTTATAGGATTAAGTCCTTAAAAGGGATCCACTTAGCTGGCAGAAGATCTCAACTTCAGACATCAGTGCGCACATGACCTCTCTGTGTCTGCATCTGCAGTCGTTAGACACACCAAGGTTTTCTGGAATAAGCCAGCAGACTCAGCCCCGCATAAAGATGTACGGAGCATATCCTACTTAAAGCCGTACAGAGCATATCCCATCCTCTTGGCTTTCCTTAGAGGTATTGCCAACAGTTACACAAGGGTTCTATTAAATCTGCCAGACTTCTTGATACTTCTTTAAAAATGTTGAGCAATTAGCTCACATTTTTTCTCTTTCACCCATATATATGCTTATTTCAAATACATAAGCATACGCCACTAAGCAGGAAAGTAATTAAAATACCAAGTTGGCGGCCCCATTTTATGAGATAGCCATAGGAAGGCAGGGTGCGAAGTTGCCCCCACAGATGCTCACAAACATCCACAGAAGAGTTTCCTCAACTGTTTCCAGTCCAGCATTACAAAGGCTGAATTCAGTAGCATTAGGCACATTTCCAAACCTTTCTTTCTGTATTTAATAGGGACGGCGTAATATTTCAATCAAGACTATATCCTAATCCAAAAATGTTGTTGTCGCCCTTACTAACAAGACTTGTAAGACTGAAAGCGGTGAGACTCCTCAGTACTGAAACGACAGGCGTAAGCGATTGCGGGGCGGGACGTGAGCAGGCATTCTATAGCTGCCTACTCATTGATTTCAATTACAACTCTGCACACAGAATTTATCGTGCTATAAAATGCACAACATCCAAACAATCTTAGCACA